ACGGTTCGTGAGTTCGAGCCCCGCATCGGGCTCTGTGCTGACAGCTCAGAGCCTGGAGCCTACTTCGGATTCTGTGTCTCCCTCTCTCTTTGCCCCTCCCTTGCTTGCACTCTCTTTCTTTCTCTCAAAAATAAATAAACATTTTAAAAAAATGAAAGGAAAATAAACATTAAAAATTTTTTTAAAAAGACTAAAAACCAATATACGTTATTGGTTGCATAATCTTGGTAATCACTTAAAAACATTCTCTGTTTTCCATTATGATTTCTTCTTCGATCCTTGGGTATTTAGAAGTATGTTTCTGGATTAGCAAACAGGTGGCGTTTTCTAGTAAATCATTTTGTTGTTGATTTTTGCATAGTTGCAGGTCAGGGAAGGCATGCTGTGTGATTTCAGACCTTTGAAATGTGTCGAGACCTGCTTCACAGCCCAGCATTTCATCGTTTTTTTGGTGTATGTCCCACCTATGCCTTGAAAGAATGTGTGTTCTATAGCTGTGTTCTGTAGTGTCCTATATACACGAAGTGAGTGAAGTTTGTTAATTGTGGCATTCAGACTTTCTCTGTCATTGTTGATTTTTGTGTCTGCTCAGTTGCTGAGAGAAGGGAGTTTTAAAAGTTTGCAACCCTTCTTGTTCCTTTTAGTTCTGTCGAGTTTTTGCTTTATACATTTTGAGGCTATGTTATTAGGTGCATACAAATTTAGAATCGCTTTATTTTCCTGGACAAGTGACTCTGTCATACTATGAAAATTGCCTTATGTCTAGAATTTTTTGTTTGCCTTCACGTCTACTTTGTCTCCCTTTGTCTCACTCTACTTTGTCTCACATTAATAGAGCTACACCAGCTTTCTTTTGGTTGGTGTTTACGTGATGTGTCTTTTTCTAACCTTTACTTTCAACATTTCTGAATCCTTATATTTTATGTTTGTCTCTTTTAAGCAGTGCATTCATAGTTGTTTTTTTTAACCTATTCTCTTACTTGAAGCCGTCTTTAAACATGAGTATCTTGGGGGGCGCCTGGGTGGCGCAGTCGGTTGAGCGTCCGACTTCAGCCAGGTCACGATCTCGCGGTCCGTGAAGTTCGAGCCTTGTCGAATACTGGGCACCGAGCCGCAGAGCCTGTTCCCGATTCATCTCCCTCTCTCTCTGCTCCTCGCCCGTTCATGCTCTGTCTCTCTCTGTCGCAAAAATAAATAAACGTTGAAAAAAAAATTAAAAAAATAAATAAACATGAGTATCTTGGGGCGGCTGGGTGGCTCGGTCGGTTAAGCGTCCGACTTCGGCTCAGGTCATGATCTCACGGTCCGTGAGCTTTCAGGCCTTGTCGGGCTCTGTGCTGACGAGAGCCTGGAGCCTGTTTCAGATTCTGTGTCTCCTTCTCTCTCTGCCCCTCCCCTGTTCATGCTCTGTCTCTCTCTGTCTCAAAAATAAATAAACGTTAAAAAAAATTTTTTTAAATAAAAATAAACATGAGTATCTTAGGTTAGTTGCAGTGCTATTTTCCCATCTCCTTACATGTCTTTCAACATGGTAGCTCCAATCTTGTCTACTGAAGTGTAACATTTACCTACAAAAGTAAGAGTCTAATGGTCACCTGAATCTGTCTCCTTGAAAGTTCTGTGATTCCTCAAGTCTGTCCTCGAGTCTGTGTCTGATGATTCTATTTTATGGATCCACCCGGGGCGGCGGGGGCAGAGGTGGTCTGTTTCCATCCATTCTTTCTTGTGTCTCTTGGTTTTCACACACACTGTCTTATCTCCTTGGGTATGTGGTTATTTTTGATCGAGTGCCGAACATCGTATTGAAAACACAGATAATTTGATGCCAGAATGGTGGTGTGGCTGTCCCTCGTGTTTGCTTCCGACGGGCACCCCCACATACCTTGGGTGGGTTCCGAATCCCAGGTTCTGTCATCCTAGCCCCAGGAGCCTGGAAAGCTTTGCTCCTCTGTTAGGCTCAGCTGACAACCATCAGCGGAAGGAGACCCTGAGCTCCTTTCTGCAGATTTCCATTTTCTACCTGGTCGTGGCTCTGTAACCCAGCCTTGAGTCACTCAGTACTGCATCTTGTGTTTCTAGGTGTTCTCAGGAAGAGGGTTGGTCCATGAGGGGAAACGAGATCTTGGCGTTAAAGATGTTTTCTTAAAACAGGAATGTCTGGGGCCAGTTACTTTGCCTATGGCTTTTTTTTTGGTTTTTTTTGGTACGTATATATAAATGTGGTGGCTTGAATCCCATCTCATAAAGTGGAACATCTGCCTCCACAAATAAGAACCCGGTAATCATCTGAGTCTGTGACTGTTCCCAGTAATTAAGCCCCACGTGAGTTATCTTACCTGCCCTCTGTCCACATTTGACACTTCTTGCCACGGAAAAAGGCACAGGATCTTGAAGAGTGTTACGGGCAACAAGAAATTACACTTGGCCTACTTTTTAGGTTTATCTGTGGCCCAGTGCCCCATTTGCACGGCTCCGTTATGTAAGTGACTGCAGAGTATTTTCTGTTCTGCTGTCGTCACATCAGTTGGTAGGTCTGGCTCTCCCTGTCCTACAGATCCTGAACAACCACGTCCAGTTCGAGGTGTCCCACGGCCCCTCGGACGTGGCATCCATGAGGTTGTCCAGGTCACGCGTGACTGACGGGGAGTGGCACCACCTGTTGATAGAACTGAAGAGCGCCAAGGAAGGCAAAGACATCAAGTACCTGGCGGTCATGACCCTGGATTACGGGATGGACCAGGTGAGTTGGCACCTGTGCCCTCTTTGGAACAGGCACCTTCACCGGGCGTACGGAGAACCGAGTGACCCCTCCACGTGCCGGGACATGCCGGAGCCCTGGAGGGTTTTGGGACACGCGTTCGGGCCCCCCTGAGTTTGGGTCTCACATCCTGCCTTACGCTGCGGTCACCAGTGTCTGTGCCTCCTCCCCCTGCCAGATGGCCAGCTCCTGGACTCAGGAACTGGACCCCATCCGTCTGTTATCCCATCGCGGTGCCGTCGGCACCTGCAGCGGTGGTCTCTTTCAGCAGAGCTGACCAGAGTGACGACTGTGGCTTGGTGCTGTGCCTCTGGGGCACACAGATAAATAACACACGGGTCCTCGCCCTCAGGGTGGGTGGCGCGTGAAGGTGGGTGAGCAGATGAGCCCGGGTGAGCAGAGGGGGCAAGCGTTGGCGAGTGGCATTCAGAGCGTGCTTGGTGAACCGCGCTGGGTTTCTGCTGGTGGCGCCTGGTAACAAGAGGCCCTTTTTCTGGGACGTCCGCCCACTTCGGGGGCTGCTTGTGAGTTTTCTGCCCTCGAGGTCTAGGCGCATTTCCCACCTGGCTCTGAGGATAAACAGCTGTTCTGTTCCACGTGCAGCCTTGCAGGGCCTGAGGGTCCAGCAGCGACATTCGCAGGTGCCTGCCTTCCTGCTCGTCCTTTCCATTCGCTGCTGTCTTCTAGTTCACCAGCATTTTCCTGCAGTGGCTCCTCAGCGGTGCCCCTTGTGGAGGCGGGAGGGTTGCCCCCGTCCCCCCGGCCGGCCATCTTGGCTGGGCCGGGCGGGGAGGACGTGTATCCTGGGACCCGGTCCCCACTCCTGCCTGTCACGCACAGACGGCTGCGTTCTCTCCTGAGAAGGCCGAGCCCGGCTCGCCCCTCTGTTTGGAGGCCCACGTGTCCTCGGGCTGTAGGGAGCTTGCCCAAGTGACCGCGTCGTCAGCCTCTGGGCATGTTCTTCCCAGAAGATGTTTCCGGAATGTGGATAGCCTCACAGGACATGTAGATCGGGAACTGAAGCCCGGGGTTGAAAGATGAGAAGCCATCAATGGGCGCATGGTCCTGAGACAGGTCTCCTGCACCGAGCCTCTCCTGGCTGCATAGGCAGAGCTGCGGGCGCCTGGCCAGGCAGCCTGGGCCCTGGTCCGCTGCTTTTTCAGTGAATGAGTCATTCGTCTGATAGCCGACCCAAGCTAACAGTCCCGCCCAGCTGACCTGGCTCCTCCCCTGTGGTCCCCTCCGCCCTCCCCCCACATCCCCATCACTGCTGCCACTGGCCCACCACGGCAGCTCTGTCTTCACGCCCCGTGGTGTGCCCCTGGGCTTTTGCCTCCCTCAGCCCGCCCACCTGAACCTGTTTCATCCCCCGAGTATAGTATCCAGCGGGCAGCCGAGTGACTCAACGTGAGTAGCTCCGGCCACAGGCCTCCTTGGCTGCTGCAGGGAAGTGAACCTGACCTGCTCTCCTTCTGACGGCCCCTTAATCTCTCTCGGTGGACTGGCAGCGCATTCCTGAGCCAACCCCTCCCCAAAAGGCCAAGAAGCTGGAACTGGCCAGGAAAGCGCCCTCACTGGCAGTGATGCGCGGGTCAGCCTGCCACCCGATGCCCCCTGCCTTCACCAGACGCCACCTTCGCCGGCGCCATGCGCCTGGCCACCGTGATTCGCTTTTCCTTCAGGACACCAGCCACGAACTGTCGAACGCTGACTCGCTTGACTCGCTTCCGCGGCTGGTCTACCCACCTGGTGCTCGCCATGCCTGCCCTGGACCCCATTCTCCTGCCCCCCACGAGAGGTCCCAGCTCTGTGCATGTCGCGGTTGCTTTTTGACCAAGAGAACTCCAGTCTCTTTTACCCCTGGTTACTTAGGGGTTCCCACCCCAAGACACGGGCTGAACTGCTGCCCTCTCTTTAACTCAGGGGTGAGAATGGGCTGGTGCAGACGCCCACAATATCGCTAATGCCAACATGAACGACCAAGGTCAGGGGGGTGAAGGGACGGTTGCACGCGGGAGGACCTCCTCCAGCCCCTGTCCTCGCAGACAGCTGCCGCGACGCCTGGGACGCTCTACCCTGCATTCAGGATAAAGGTGGAGCCCCCCCACCATTACCCCCCCGGGCACCCCTGCAGCCCTGGAGCAGAGGGTCAAAGCAGCCTGAAAACACATGGAGGAGAGCTGCCTTGAGGATGCCCCCCCGCCCCATGCTGGTTCAAGGGAGGCTGGAGTCTTCGTCACTAAGGAGTGTGCCCTCGGTTTCTCCTCTTTGTTTATTTTTTGTATTCGCTTAAATGTGTATCTCTGAGAGAGGAGACTGCAGTAGGGGCAGAGAGAGAGGGAGACACAGAATCCAGCAGGCTCGGCCCGAAGCCGTCAGCACAGAGCCCGACGCTGGACTCGAACCCATAACAGGAGGGCACGTGGACTCTGAGCCCAAGTCGGATGGTCAACCCCACCGAGCCTCCCACCCCTCTTCTAATTTTTTTTTTTTTTGAGAGAGAGAGAGTAGGGGCAGAGAGAGAGAGAGGAGAGAATCTCAAGCAGGGTCTACACTCGTCAGCACAGGAGCCTTGATGCGGGCTTGAACTCACGAACCGTGAGATAGTGACATGAGCCGAAGTCAGACACTTAACTGACTGAGCCTTCCAAGCGCCCCTGGGCCTTCTCTTCTTAAAGTTCGTTCCCATGTCTGGTCCTCACCCTGAGGCACAGGGACACCCAGGCTTTATCCTCAGGGGCACAGTAATGAGGGGAGGGGAAAGAATTCGGGAACAGCCCACACTGTAGAAGATTATACTCTCAGCCTGAACGCTGGAGGCGCCTGCCACTCCTCTCCTTGTGCCCGTGCCCCTGCAGTCCTGGGGAGGCCGGGCCTCCTCAGCCTCCCGGGGCCCCTCTTTCTGCTCTCTCCCAAGCCCGACCCACCTAACGCTTAGGCTTCAAGGGATCTCCCCATTTCTCCTTCTCGGGGACATAGCCCGGAGAGTTGGGGGAGCCACGATGGATCGCTTGAGACGTCTTCCCCTGCAGGCTGGGGCTCCAGAGGGCGGGCCCGTGATGCCTCGGGCAGATTATGGTGGGGGGGGGGTAATGCCGGCCTGTCCCCGCAGGGTACTTTGGAAGGAAGTGCGTGGACGTGTGCCACCTGAATCCCTGCGAGCACGTGTCGGCCTGCGTGCACAGCCCCAGCTCCCCGCGGGGCTACGTGTGCGAGTGTGGATCCAGCCACTACGGGCAGTACTGCGAGAACAAGTAAGACGGCCCGCCTGTCGCGTCCAGCGGCTCCGTCTCGTGACGCCTCTCCTCCTGTCACTTAACACAAAGATACGTAGGATTCCAGATAACACGGACATGGCCGTTTGTTTGTTTCTCAAATTGGGCCAGAAACGAGTAAGAGTTGAACTGGCACCTGGGACGAACCGCGTTTGAGCACGCTCCCACTGCGGGGACATACGGCGTGACTCACGTGTGTAGAGCCCAGCCGCGCACAAAGCAGGCGGGCACTGGGGTGCGGGGGGCCAGCCCTGCAAGCCGGGAACAGAGCGTGGCTTTTTGGAGGCCACGGAAGCCTGGCAGAAGCGTGGCAGGATCGAGCGTGGGTCTCAGAGGGCCCCGGCCGCCGCGTGGAGCGCGATGGGAGCAGGTGAACGCCCGAGGCAGGGAGGCCGGGAGGCTGATCGTGTCCCCGAGGGCTGGCCTTGCAGGGGCGGAGGGCGGCAGAGGCGGGAGGGGGAAGGTGCCCCGCAGCTCTGGGGTCCCCAGACTGTGAGTGCAGATCCGTGAGCACCTGACTGGAGCCCCCGGCTCGGCAGTTCTGGCGTGGTTATTTTTACGCCCCTGCTGTGTACACAGTCGGTACTTAATAATTGCTTGCCAGGTGGGTGAGGGAGTACGTACGACAGGTTCGCTGCCGGCTGGGCGGGTGGGTGGACGGAATGCCATTAGCTGAGACGGTGAACACAGGGCGGAAGCTGAAGGACGTTTGCTTGGGGAGGTGCGTCCCACAGGTAGGGGGTCTGCAGATGATGCTCCGGTGTGTGGTCAGGCTGGGAGCGGAGGTAGGGTGACAGTGACAGGCAGCGGCCAGAGCCCGGGAGGGGTGAGCGTGGCCTCGCGACCTTCGACGCCACACGTCTCCGGGCCTGCTGGGCTCCCAGGGCACGACCAGGCCTGGGTCGTGATTCTGAACCCACCACTGGCCCCAGCCCATGGCTGCACGGAGCCGACCACGGTCCAGGTCACATCCGTGGAGAGGCAGCTCTGAGCGTCTCCGGGGACGTGGCCAGTGTTTGACTCAGGGCACCCGGGAAGGCGTGGATGCCCCGGAATCCCTCACTCAGGATCTGCCCGCCGAGGACCTTTTGCCGATAGGCGCCCCCCCGCCCCTGGGTCCTGCGGAAAGGTTGCCAGGGCAGTCAGGCTCGGTCTGCTCTGTTGGGGCTGGGGTTGAGAAAGTCTGGCCCGGCAGTGGGGTCACTTGTCACTGAGCGCCCCCGTGAGCCAGGCGTCCTGGGGTGGACACCGATGGGTGCCGTCCCCACGGCTTGGAACGTGGCGAGGTCACGCTGATGGGACGTAAGCCCAGTTTGGGGTGCTCGCTTGTTCTTCCGGGTAGAAGAAAAAATAGCAAGCAAACAAATCATTTTAGAAATAAGTTTTGCAGGTAGAAGCCCTCCGGACATGGGGCCCCTGGAGGCTGGGATCCTGAGGGGTCACGGGAGAGTGAGGCTGGGGACGAGCAGGGGGGATACGGAGGCCACCGCAGGGGGAGGGAGGGGCCCAGAAGCAGGGTAGCTCAGCCTCCCGGCCTGCGACAGTCTTCGTCTGGCTCCAGGAAGGGTTATGCACACCTTCCCTCTGCTGGCCTGTTTTCCCAACAGGATCGACCTTCCGTGCCCCAAAGGCTGGTGGGGGAACCCCGTGTGTGGACCTTGCCACTGTGCTGTCGGCAAGGGCTTCGATCCCGACTGCAACAAGACCAACGGACAGTGTCAGTGCAAGGTGAGGCCCGGCCCGCGGGCGGATGGAAGCCACGTCCCCACCGCCACCTTGGGGAGCCAGCCCCGCGGGATGGGCGAGTGCAGGGACGCGTCTGTTTGGACATAGATACACACACCCATGCGTGCACACACACACACACACCTCGATGTGGACATATATGCACGTGCACACACACATATGTACCTGTGCATGTGCACACACATCCACCTAGACATACACACACGTGTGCTCAAGCCCTAAGCCCCGGGAAATTGCGACTCACCAATGTCCCCGGTACACCTGGGCTGGTCTTTATCCCTGCGCTGGTTTGGCCCGTGGGAACCCGAGTCCTTGGCCCCACGCCCCGCTGGTAACCGGAAACAGTCTCTGAGAGCCTGGCTCACCCTCGCACCACTGCCATTCTCCTACTTTCCTGGTCTTTTATCAAATTTCCTCTCCGCGATGGCTGTAAGTTTTAATCTATGAAAAGCTTTGGGGCGCCTGGGGGGCTCAGTCGGTTAAGCGGCCGACGTCGGCTCAGGTCACGATCT